TTTTTTTTTAAAAGCATCCGCCACATGTTATATACACATTACACCCAACACAGTCTGATTTATACACGTTACAGTGGGGCTGCTCTGTCCATTAGCAATAGACCATCTTATCTTTACCTGAGCAGACAAGATTACTGAAAATGTCACAGAACATTCCTGCAACACTTTAAAGTTGTCTGCCAGATACTCGGCATGCCGATAGAAATATTATCACTTGTCATCTTATGTGATGTGACAGTGAAAGTGGCTTTGGATGACTGAATGTAGTGCATGTGCAGTTAGCTGTCAAGTCTATTCAAGAGGTGTATTGTCACATGCACAGTGGTTTATACCATACAATGAATACTTTGCTGGACTCGCTTTACACAACAGCACAATAATAAGACAAATAAACAACACAAATAGAAAAATTAAATATAACTTAAAGTGCAGAACCGTCAGGGACAAACAGGGATGTAATGGAGGGATATACCTTATTTATGGTTGAATAATATGTATAAATCACCTTTCCTCACACTCATTAGGGTTGTAACAGAGTTAAAAGACATTCCCAGTGCACATTACAGCTTGTTGGCTGTGGTAAAGTTGTGATGCTGTGGCATTTAAATGTAAAATAAATAAATAATAAATTAAAAAATCATATGAAAATACGACTATTCCAGTCATGGTTGTTGTTTCCCCTCATGTTGACATCTGGACGATAGTGTAACCACCTTTTTATTTACTACATCAATACAGACAACAACATTATACCAGATGCAAAACTGCATTATTCTTGTTTTAACAAACAATTTTATAACAATTTCATCGCCGACCCAACACAGGTGAAGGGCTAAAGCAAGAAAATGGGTGGTTTGTTAGCAGCCACATAAACACTAAGTTACTTTCTCACAGTTTTGTCACCTTTACTTGAATTAGCCGGCGTTTAAAAACAGGCCTTTCACCCCTTAGCGCTGTGTTTAAAGCAGTCAATAACCACTAGAGCTTAAAAAACCCGAAAGGAATTTGGTTTAAACCCACTGCTGTGTGCCCCCTAACAGGGTTGCCAGATAGGTCGAGTGAAAACCCCCCCTGAGCAAGTGTGTTTAAATAACCAAGCTCCTTGCTGCTGTTAGCTCGCTTAGCACTGGGAGCTCGCCCCTCACAGAAAGCGAGCTAACTAGCCCCCTTGCGAGCTAACCTAACGCGATTCACGACTCTAATTCATTAACGCAGCATTGTCTGCAAGCCTGTGCCCGGAAAAAAAAAAAACACACTCAGTATCATTCATTCAAAAGGGGAAAGGTGCAGATTTTCTGAAGCCGCCATTGACAAGGCTAGCCCCAAAGGTCTGCATTGCAGGGCCAGACGATAGGTTAACAATTGGGCGTAGTTTTTGCACTCACAACGAAAACGAACATTTCCATTACAGGGATATTGTTCGGTGGTTACACGGCGGACACACTTCACATATCAGTTAAATCGGGTTAGCACCACGTTGCGACAAAAACCCCGACATGTACGAATCTTACCCCGTTTTTTTTTGTTTTTTACCTTTTTAGCGAGTGGAGTTCCGCGTCCGAAGTAGCGACCAAATAAGTCAAGCTGATAATCCTCTCGTTTCACACGATCTCTGCATTTCCTATTTCACGCCAAAACGCCCGCATTTAAGGTCGGTCTACCTCGTTGTCCAGAAGCGAGTGGGAACATGCAACAACAACAACAACAAAACAAAAAAAAAAAAAAAGAAAAAGTGGGCGAATTTAATCGATTGAACTTTCCATTTGATCCAGCGTCCGGGCCTAGCTGCTCAGGTTGGCCTCCTTTAAGCGAATATGGGCGGATACCGGGGCGCACTTTACCCAGAAAGCATAGCTGGGGATTTCAACCGGTTTGGGGCATTTCACTCTGCTATGTGTCGCAATATGGACAGAAATTAATCTTTCTTTTGTTCTCTATAAACGTGCTATTTGTGTGTTTTTTTTTATTCATATATGTGGGGTTATATAAACTGTAAATGCCTCTTTTATTAATGCACAAATTCGCTTTATGTTTTTGTTTTTTTTAAACTCTATTATTATTATTATTATTATTTTGAATTCAATCTAAATTTGAAGACATACACTGATTCACATTTATGCTTTGATGATCACGAACAATATTGTAACTATATAGGTCACATGGTTGTTGGTTTCAGGACCTTCTCCTTCCACTTTCGGGAGCTCCTGCTGCTGCTGCCTGCTGCAGTCAACAAAGCCTAGGGGGCGACTCCACTATATATAGGCTCTAAATATAACTGAATTGTGCTGGAGAGACGTCATTCCCAGGCAAGGAAATGATTTGGCAATCCCTTGTCAGTTTTCCAAAGTGTTCACTAGGCTGCCTCCTGCGCACTTTATGTGCATACAACACAGGAGGCAGGGTCTGTAACAAAAAAACACGAAACTACAAATTCAATTAAGGATTATTATGGGGAAAGTGTAAATTAATCCACGTTTTTTTTTTTTTTTTACCAACTTTGTAAATGCATAGTTATTTTATTATAAGTATCCGTTCGAGGGAATGTTTTTTTTTTTTTTTTATTTTAAAGACGCATTACCCTGTGATTAGTATTAGACATTATCTGTGAAATCTAATAGCCAATATCAATAATAAAGGTGGGGAAAAGAGTATAAAAGAGTATAAAATGTAAAAAGACGATAGAGTATTTTCACTTCATACACCAGACACGCTAGAGGTCACTATTGACTTCTTGTCTGGCAGTTCTCCAAGCTGCACAGCCTCTATTGAGACCACAGCTATGTTTGTGATGTACAAGGAAGTGAAGGCCAATTTTAAGCCAGAATCATTGCTCGGTGTTGTTTTCATTGAAGAGATCCCACGTCATCCACATTTTTGGGGAGGCTTGCCCTTATAGGCAGTAATGAACATATCAAAGATGTTTAAATGAGCACCTATTGTGTGCAGAGATAAGAAATTACTGTTGGCTACCATTTATGAGACTGGAAAAATCTTCTTTTATCTACAAGGAAATGCAGTGTGCCTTTACCCCACTGCATTTAGTAGTAGTTACAGAACAAAAACAATAAATAGTACAGTATTGTTAGAGGTGAAAGAGTCCACAAGTATGTGGAATAACCGGTATCATAAATGATTTTACAGTTAAAGCGTCAGTAATTTCACATTCATAATGGAAAGTCCTCAATGGCAGAAAGGCTGACTATCTACTATCTATAACCACAATATATCGGTCATTAAATACTATATATTTATATTTATATCTCTATGGATATACAGTTTTATATCACAAACATAATTTAATGTCAGTTATAGTTTGCAGACGTTAATTTAGTGTAAAGTTAATCTGTGACTCTCTCGTTTCTCCAGTGATGTGCTTGTTCCCTCTGTAGGTTTACCTGATACAACGCATATAAAAGTTTCAGTGCAAGCAGTAAATCTATAAAGTAAGTGAAATCTCAGCCTTAGAACAACATTATTTGTATAAAAGTTACTGAAATCACAAAGGTATAAAACATTTTCCAGTGACACATGTTATAATATACATAAAAAATAGACACTTTTCACAGCAACCCTTTTTACATGAAATAATAGGGTAAACACAGGTGTTACCAATGATAGTAGTTAAGGCTCTGTTGCAGAGCCTTAACTGCAACAGAGCCTGCTGTGAAAAAGGTCCATTGACTTAACAACAGTTGGCCTTTTTTTTACAGCAGACACTTTGATACATCCTAACAGGAAAATCACAGGTGTCTCTGATAACAGTAACAATGGCTGTGTTTCAGTAAGGCATGGTGAGTCACTGGAATGGCTTTGTGGGATGCTAAAAAGCTATCATTAAAGTTATTAGTCACACCTGCTTGTTAAAATGTCTGCTGGGAAAAAGGTCCATAGTGGCATAACATAAAAAATGGTTGTTATGAAATGATTATTTCACTTCAATAAAATGCCTTTTTTTTATAAAAGGAAGCTCATCTTTCAAGCTTTAAGAGTCTTCATGTTCAGAGAATAAAACTGTAATCCTGACCTGTAGTCTTCAACCAGACTTGATTGCACCACCCCTACGTCCTGAAAACCAACCAGATCGCTGAGAAAAGACCTGACACTTCCAGCTGACATTTTATTATGACAGGGACTCCTGTGCTGTCACAAGAGGGCAGTAAGCCTCCATTTATACATCCCATTGCCAAAGGTTCATCAGTAGCTCCAGTTGGATGGGGCCTACAGCATGTTTTAGTTCATCTATTCTAAACAACATAAGTATTTTTGTGTCAGGTGGAGAGAAAATATAATTGTTTTTACATTACCTCCTGTATAAATCAACCATTTAGTCCACTGCTGTCTAATCTGGGGTGCACAGAGTGATAAATATAGTAAGCCTTAACTGTTTTTCCTACTTTCTTTAATAATATCTAACAAAAAAAAACTTTAGATTTTGTTTGTTTGTTTGTTATTTTATATCACTAACCAATACATTAATTACAACAGACACTACTTACATCCTACTTTTGCCATTATAGTATGCCTATATGATGTGAAATATGTCACTGTGTTTCAACTGCATGGCATGTTTTAGCAAGTTTAGTTGCATGTGCTGTAATTGTGTGTATAGTGCTGTTTTTAAAAGAGCAGCTTTAACGGTGTTATCCTGCAGGAGCTTTGAATACAATGCACAACTTTATTTACTAGACTATGAATATGATTTCTCACTACATCTGCATCTACATCTTTTTGTTCATTAACACATTTGTTTCTGTTTCTATTTAAATTGAATCCACTTTTTTTCATTTGCAGTGAACTTGACCCCTCCTGGCTCACACACACTGCAAAGTATTGTAGATGAGGTTATGTCACTATGTTATTGTTATCTGAAGTATACTGGTCTCATTCTACTGTTCAGATGTCCTGCATGTGTAAAAGTTGGCTCTAGGTAGCCCCCTCTTCACCCACCCCCCCTTCAGAGTGTATTGCAGCTTTAAACAGTCCACAATGCCTTGCGGTGTCCCAGTTCCAATGCGATGTATTCACCAGCAGGAGTAATGAAACGGGGAGAGGGGGCATTTTCCGCAGCTTATTGGTGAGACCGCAAAAGACTAGCGCGCAGAGAGGACAGACACAAACTTTCGGACAGAGGACCAAAACGTCAATTATCTGTCTTTTTTTCTGGACGCGTCTGTAGCCTTTTATTAATTATTATTCCTGTTGTTTATCCAGCAGCCTGAAACGTTACTTTGTCGCAGTTCGTTGGAAGTGATTTACTGGGCAATGGTGAAGGAGGACACATTTTGCGGAATCGACGCCTTTACCTGTGTTTATTCCCTAAACTTCAGTCCAGTGAGGGGACACTGACTTGAATCCTGTGTGCGGCATAAAGGTAAGAGCATTGCACTGAGCCAACAATGGCAGAATGTGCCGCAGCTTGAGCCCTGCTGTAGTTGTGAGGCTGAGATAACGGAAACATTTCTGTAGTAGAATAGTTGGGGCTACTCTCTGAAGCCCACTACAGCCCCTTATTATCGCCATTTCTCCAGCCTCGTCCCACTCCACACCAACACATGAGGCAGAGGTTGCAGAGTATTACTAAAGAAGGACTAATGTGTTATGTCTTTCAGGGTGTTACTGGCCGAAATATCGAGTTAATGCTGCGTTTAATTGTGCCTTTATCTGTTAGTTTGGGGAAATAAGAGTAGTTAAAGGCATTTTTAAATGTAATTCTGTAATTATCTTGCAGTATTATCTTTACAGGCCCAGATGTTTTGGAGAACATCCACTTAAGAATGTTGCTGGTCCCCTTTTCCCCATTGTTTGTGTTGTCTAATCAGGTTCAGCATCTTCTGTAAATACAGCGAGCTCTCATGGTCTCAAAAGCCTTTACACCTCAGTCATCTTAACAGAATCTGCATATAAAAACCACTTTGCAGTTCATGCTATCTAAAGCCCCACTGCTCTACACCACTTACAAACACCAGGTGTAGCAGAACCAACCTGTGGAGCGGCTGCACTCAGCCAAGGTTTTTATGTCTCTCAGTCTTTGTGCTTTGTGATCTGAGAGGAGAGGACTAATTTAGTCTAGAAATAGAATCATGTAATTTAATGGTCTTTGCTGGATTGAATGCTGTCATAGCACCATGAAGACCAGGCTGCAAAGAACTACCTTACAGTCTGGAAAAATAAATAAGTTTTGCCACTTTTTGTGCGTGGCTGCCATTTCAGCTGCAGCTGCAAAACCCTTTCAGTTCTATAAATGTGTTTGTGAAATGAGTGTGATTCAGCACCAGATGATGTTTTACAAACCGCCTGTAAACATGTAAAACCTTGGCCAGGGGCCTCTTGTTGCCCCCAGTGTGTTGCTGGTGCACCCCAGTGCAGAAGCCTGTTGCCTGCCCCGCTGGCTCTTCAAAGCTGGCTAGTGAGCAGTGAATATGGCAAGGGAACAAAGGCGGCATTATTGCTGGCTGAACGTGCCGTCCAGATGTTCGAGATCCTGCCAGCACTGACCTCCCAAATGGGGGAGGCTGCTCCAGCGCCTAATAGTTTAATATCAGCCAGGCAGAGAGAGAGAAAGAGGGCGGCTTGCTCCGGGGCAGGGGCCATTGGAGAGCTCTCAGGAGCTGAGGGAGTTTTCTGTAGCGTGACGGGGAGTGGGTTTAATCCCAAACACCCCAATCTTCAGATTGCAGCTTGAGTGAAAATTTGGAAGAAGCACTGGACGATGGTTGTTCCTTCGTTGTGTATATTTTGGGGTTTCTTTGGTGCTTTAGGTAGTTAGGCTACAACACACTGGAGAGATTTTTCAGAGGCTTTACACACACAAAATAAATGTTTAATACAATACATTCCCTTGTGCCCAGAAAGTTTACAACTGTGTTTTAGCCTCTGACTAAGTGGTGGTACAGTGTCACCGTTAATTGCTCGTTAATTAACAGTTCTGAATATTTCAGGCAGCAGGCCTGTCATTTTGCAGAGACTAATGCATCGAAAACACTAAATTAACTGAGAGTGGACATTGTGCACAGCAGTGGCTTTCAGCATTTCACATTCAGAAAATAATAGAAAACCATTGCAAACTTTTTCTTTTATTCATCTTTTATGTTTTTCATATGTCTCAGCTTAAGGACTGCGGTTATTTCAGTTATTCAGAATGTTGCAAACACACTTTTGATGGTCTTTTAATGATTATCCAGTTTAAACACATTTTAAGATGGGATGCAGTTTGTTGTAAGTGTCATAGCTGTCGTCTGCTGCATAGCCATCAAGATCACAGAGTGGACGGACCCATAGCTTTCTTGTCACTAGTCATGGCCCGTTGCATTCTCACAGCCCAGGAATGCATACCCTGGATGTTATCAGATTCCACTCTACAGGATCAAGGCCTGTCTCTGGCAACAGTCTTTGCCCTGCTCTGTAACGTTTACATTTGTAGAGGCTAAGGTACTGACAATGAGGAACTTCTTTATCTGGTTCCCACTGCAAGACCTCTTTTAACAACATTAATATTATATTCTAGCTACCCATGGGGATTATACTGGGGCTGTATCACTTGATGATAGTCTGGAGGAATTGAAAGCAAAGAAAGATATTTCTCCAGTTTGTTCCAGGCGAGTCACCGCCAGTGCCTCCACAATAAACCAGCGCTTTTCTTTGGCTGCTCACAGAGATCTGTTTCACAACAGATCTGTTACCAATTACAGCAGAATATAAATTGCTAGTAATTACATGTTGCTCTACAGGGAGTGCAATTCGAATTAAAATTTGGTTAGCAATAGGCAAGGAGGTTTAAGTACTAGAACAGACTGCTGTTGCTTCAGTCTGTGATAAGTATCCCATTGTCTTTAATTTAACAGCAGTGGGGGGAGTTTTGCATGTCAGAAACCTTCTATAATAAATTAGTTACTAGTTTTAATTAGCTACTTCCTGCAAACTTAGAATGCCTAAACTTCCGTGCTTTAAAGTGACTGTATTGTTTTCCACCCTAGTGAACAATGGTCAACAATTTTGGATGTGGTGTAATAGTAACTAGCGTGTTCCTGTGAGATCATTTTTCTCAACTTGGTTCAGTAACTCCCCTACAGGCTTTCTCATGTGTCAAGCTCAATCTTGATTTTGTTTTAATGTTATGAATGCCCCCATTTTGTTTTCCTCAAATACCCCCTTGTTCAGGAAACTGCTAAAACTGCACAATCCCGAGGCCAGTTCGTGATGTTCGACAGACTGTAAATCCCCAAAAGAAGCGGTGCCATATTTAAGCTCCTTCAGTAAAAACACCGACAGTATTTCTTCGTGGTGTATGTTACAGCAGTGGGTTGGTTGTGTTGGAACACCCACAGGAGCATATGGTAGGTTGTTTACACCAGCAGCCAGTCGAAGCCTTTTTCCTGCCAGCTCGGTGTGCTCCTGTAGGCCTGGAGAACTGTCATCAGCAGCCAGGGCAGGCAGGCTGCTCAGTGCTGCTCAGTGCTGCTCACACACCTCACCGCTCTGAGAGGAATGCATCTTGAGTCAACACTACTGAACTAATACGAAACCGAAACAAATACGCTCTGATTGAGTTCGGCGGTTTGCTGCAGTTGATCATCTCTCAACTGAGCTTAAATAGAATTCAAAAGAATTTAAGCCCTCCCCGTCTCATAAAATGCCTCTCTGGCATAAGACGAGCTGCACAAATCAGAGAGTGGGCATCTCCCCAGGCTGTGGCTTTGACAGGCCAGAGGAATGGAGCTTGCAGAGCTCAGGATGGCACTCTGCCCCACACCGCTGTGCCTGTATCATCAGTTGGGTTTTCTGGGTTAATGTTAATGAATATAAATGTTACAAGTGTGGACCAGAGCAAGTGACATTTATAAGTGCCCCGCTGAGTCTTGTGCTTGTGCAAGGAAGAGGCATTGAATCAGCCTGTTTTATTTGTCTCTTTTGTTGCAACTATTGTTAATGCCAATGCAATATACAGTAGTCCATGTAGTCCCTCTGACACAGTGTTGCTTTGGTATTATTTTTTAGGGCCATTCCCCTTCCCCCTCCCCTGTATCCAAACCTTTCCCCTGGCTGATCCACTATTTCTGCTTTGCATCAAGACCTACTCAGTCCCCATTACTGTTTCCACATCCCCCTGGAAAAGGGGTTAAACAAAATGGTGACAGTGTTTTGGGTCACTGCAGAAAAATCTTGCAGTGTGCTAGTGTGTGACCATTTTCCTGTTCCGCTCCATCCTTCAGCCCTTAATGCCATTTAAGGGCAGTCTGAATGAAGGACAAAAGCACTTTCCAACCAGCTGTGAATACGCCAAGAATAGAGTGATCAGAGCCAGGTTACAGACAAAGGTGCCACTCATGTACAAATTCACAGACAGTACATGCTGGATTAAAACAAAATGAGACAGGCATGCACGGCATTTATGCACTTAACACACACATGAATATGACTCCCTAAATATCTGATAACTGCCTGAGGCTTTTTGTTGTTTGTTTGTAGAGCTAAAGTGATTAATCAGTTAGGCAATCAACTGAAAATTGAAAAACTATTTTAATACTCTATTAATCCTTTAAGTCATTTATCAAGCAAAATGCCAAACTGCTGATTTCACTTTCTCAGATGTGAGGATTTGCTTCTCTTCTCTGTTTTATGTAACACTTTTAGACTTTTAGTCAGGCAAAAGAAGCTATTTGAAGATGTCACTTTGGGCTTTGGGGACTTGTGATGGGTATTTTTGACCTTTTCATAAAATAAACACTTAATCAATCAACTGAAAAAATGATAGAAAATATTTTATTTTAAAAACATTAGTTGCAACTCCATCTGTTTGTCTAACAATACAAAGGCTACCTTGCAGCACTGCCTAATGTCTTTACCATATTTAGAGAAGCATTTGGTGGAGGGTAGGACAGGCTGGTGTGGATGACTTTGTGAATGTGGATAGGGAATACGCGGGCTGGGGGAGGTGTAATTGGTGGGGGGTTGGTGGTGGGGCGAACAAAAGGACCTTTTGACTCAGTAGTGTAGGTGCAGTGAAGGTTAGATCCATGGAGAGATGCCATTCATTCTCTCCCAGTACGCTGTCCTTGAAGAACATTTTGAAGGATCCCTCCCCCTAGATGGGTATTTTATATACTGTGTTATGTCAGTAGTTTTTGCATATTTGCATTATTTTGTGCTGTGATGTTTTCATCATCATTTACTTCACTTTAAATGACAGCCCATCTTTAATAGTAGTTGTATTTGTACTTTCATCATAGTATTGAGTGATGTCTAATGACTCTGTAGGTAATAGTCCTTCCAGTGTATCAGTGCACAATGCAGGCCATAACTACATGTATTACATGTATCAAAAACAAAACCCTACTCTACTCCCACGTGTTACGATTCTTCCAGCTCTCGCTTTTCTTTTTCACAGGAACTTTCATAAATTCTCTGTTGCACTCTCTGTTCCCGTCCTCTCTGTGTCAGTGAGTCTTCCTGCTCTGTCTTCGCTGCTTCCATGTAATTCTCTGTACAAAAGCAGGAACTGGATTTGGGAATGTCTGCTGGCAGACTCTTCCTGCACCCCCAACAGACATGTACCTATTCATAGAGAAGAACAAAACAACAGCGTTATGGCCAGCTTGTCCTGGCAGGCTTGGCTGTACCAGCTCTTCTCGACTGGACTATCCTTTTCCCATTAGCTGCTGCTGAAATAGTTGACTTTTTGACTACTGGTGTTAGCAGAAGTGGAACAGTTTGCATCTCTGTGCGTCTGTTTCTGTGAAGACTTTATCCTTTAAGGCGAGTGCACATTATAACCACAGCCTTGAGCACATCCTGACTAACTGCTTCCTGTTTTTCCTTGTGTTTCCTCCCCAGTGAAGTAGCCAGAGGGGCTTCAGCTGCCCTGCACCACTGGAGCCTTCAATAATGTCGGGGCCAACACACCGCAACCGGCCCCCTCGCTTCTGACCCAACATGGAACTCAAGGTCTGGGTGGATGGAGTCCAGAGGGTCGTCTGTGGGGTCACTGAGGCAACCACCTGCCAGGAAGTTGTGATAGCTCTGGCACAGGCTATAGGTAGATCATTTTCTACCCATAATATAATATACTACATCTTTATTTTAAAAAGTGCTTTTTCTGAACTCTCAAAGACACTGTACCACACACAAGCACACCTGAGATACAAACAGACCTGTTAGAGAAGAACTACTCTACTCAGTTTATTTATGACTTCTTAATGCAGTGAAATTTGAATGTCCCTCTTATCTAGGTGATTAAGTATGATGCATCGGTAACTAGATTGATTGCTACACACTCATCAAATAGATCCTTTAGTTGGTTTTAGAAATCTTTCTCACATATGAGAATTAATCAGCTCTTTTTGTGAATCCAGAAAGATGTTAAAACATTGGTAGCTAGCTAGCAACAATAAGAAAAACTTCTCCTTGGATAACAGTGTTGTGTTCATGTGGACCCAAGGATTGTATGCTACTGGTGTGTTGGTTTCCCAGGGGACATTAAATGACAATTTCCAAATCTGCCTTTCTGTTCCAATGCCATTTTGTCACTTAGTTACTTAGTCATGATTAACTGCTTCTACACATCACATTCAGGGAGTGCTGGTGAAATTCAACTAACATATTTGGTTAGAAATTATGATGTATGATCTGTTATGAATTGGCGCTATAC